TGTTATAATAGGAGAAGATATAGATTTACTTGTCAGTTTAATTGGGCATACCATATCTCATCAACAAGAAATTTTATTTAAAAAAGTTGGCAAAGGAAATGTAAAAACTGAAATATACTCTTCCAAAAGTTTTGATAAATATCCTCGTTCTAAAAAACACATATTGTTTCTGCACACAATAAGTGGTTGTGACATGACTTCTGCGCTCTTTAGAAAAGGAAAAAAAAACTTTTGTAAAAACACTCGAGAAACTTCCGAATTTGGATCAAATTGCTGCAGCATTTGAAGAAGAAAACTGCCCGGTTCAATCATTATTCGAGAATGGAGTACGAACCTTGTTGGCAATCTATAATGCTCCAAAATCTGAGGATTGTATTGATCGTCTTCACTATGCACAGTTCATCAAGTTAACAAAACTGAATAAACCTGTGCAGTTATCAAATCTTCCACCAACGAGTGCAGCAGCTCACCAACATTTCAACCGTGTTTATTATCAAGTTCAGACTTGGTTAGGGCATGATTTAGAACCCCAGAATTGGGGTTGGATAATGCGTGATGAATTTCTGGAACCTGTTATGACAATGAATCCACCAGCTCCGGAGGAATTGCTTAACACAATATTCTGCAACTGCAAGAATGGTTGTGGTTCGCGATGTGGACGCAGGAAAGCAGGGTTGCAGTGCTCTTTAACTTGCGGCCAGTGTAATGGGCAAGCTTGTCTTAATGCTTCATCATATCAGAGTGATATCAATGAAGACGGTACTTTTGATCCCGAAATCCTGGAAGAACTGGAGACAAATGACGTTGAAGACGAGAACACAGAGGAATTTGAAATTTTACAGCGACTGGAAGACGATGATGAAGAAGAAGAAGAAGAAGAAAATTGAAATTAGAACTTGTAATTCTTATTATTATTCAATTTTTTAAATTTCAACGTTCATAAATGTATGAAATGGTATTTTTCAATAAAAACATTAATTAAAAATTTCATTCTTTTTATTTAGTTAGGAAGTAATTAGTATAAATAAGATTAGAATTAAAAAACAATTAAAGTATTTTACTTAATAACTTTATAATTACACGAGTAGGTAAGTGTTATAAAATGAATAAATACTGAATTATTGAAAAAAAAATATTAATTATAACGTAATAGTTAATAAAATATGCAAATTATTTAGAATTATATATTTATCAATAATTTATAAGCTTTATACGACATATACATAAAAAATCGATTTTTTTACCTTTGACCTTGGAATATCTGAAGATGCGGACACCCTATGATAAGTAGGTTTTGAGACAAGTTTTAGGGTACCAAAATAAAGGTTTATACAAGTTTATAGCTAACTATCTCTCATTCCGAGGTGAAACCCCTAATATTCCTGGACTAATTCACTATTTCGCCTACAGGGTCTTTCCAACAGTTACATTACTTCTATTGCTGCATGAATGTGTGAATAAAAATGTCTATCAGCTTTGTTACTAAGGAAAAAACATTAATTGGCCAAAATCGGAATAACACTTAAAAGTAATAATTACTTAGGTAAATGTTTCCTGGAAAATAATCAAAATTGTTCATTGGAGTATTACTGAAAATAAAAATTATCATCTAATAATAATTCTCGTATGTCAGCTGTTAGACTTCAATTTACTTTGAACAAGATAAGACGTAAGTTGTTTTAAAATTTCTTAAGATGTAGCGGCCCATACAAACACCAAATAGACACTAAAATCTCTGTTTATATTCACAAGAGAATGATGCATGAATGCAGTTTATTGATTTTAATTTATATTTTCAAGTCAATTTTTTAATGAATTTGTTGGTAACATACTACCGGTTTGAAAAAAAAACTAAGTAATCATCAACAATATTCCGTTTACTTTTAGGCTCTAGTGAATGCGGTGTCAGGTCTGAACAACAAATCTTGCGATGGTTCCGAGGTTCATTCCATGTCTTCACTTAGCACGAAATGTGACGTCATCAGCATATCAGATGGCAGTGTGCATAGCAATGAGTCTAGCATCGATCTTGTGCCAAGTTTGAGGCAACCCTCACAAAACGTTGAGGTGGAAAGGAGCCAATACGAGACTAGCGAGATGTGCACATCGCATTATTCTCAGGAAGCGTGCAAAATCAGCATGAACCGATTCGTGTCAAAAGAGCACAACAGCAACAACCTATCTATCACCGATGGTACCCACAACATCCCGGGAGTGATAAGGAAAATATCGGGGCGGTACAGCGGTTGGAAGAGTTCCCTGGCAACTTTCACTCCAAAAAAAAAATCGTGCCCAAGACTCCAAATTGAGAAGAGTAGTACTGCATCATGTAATATCGTAGAGGGTAATTCATCCGACCGTTATGAGACGGCCCAAGGGGACCCGCAAAGTCTCTTCGATCGACAGGGAATGACAAGTGAGGATGTTTTGGATGGGAAGGAACTGGCCCAAAACGAACGAGACAAGTTGCTGTTGCTGGAAGACGTCTTGGAAAACGATGCAACTATTCCAAAGAACAAAGGAGCGGAATTGGAACTGAAGCGGCATGATGAGAAATTTTCAGTGTCTAAATCATTGCCGAAATCTAAAGAACAGCAAAGCAAAGAAATTTCACTCCAAAGGAACAAAATTGAGTCAATGTCGCAGAGAAAGGAGCAGGATCAGAAGGGAAATGTCAAAGATGTGACTAGACGACAAGGCGATAACAAAAATCTCATTTCGTTTAACACCAAAGATTTGTTTCCAAAAGGTATCTTGAGCGATATCGGAGAATATGTTGCAACACCATTAGAAGAACACGAAAAACCAAATAAAGACATTGTGATCGACTTGGAGTCGGACGTAGAAAGTCTGGATGTGTCGAGTCAGGAGGTTCTGCCGGCAATTAACAAAAAAATTGCTGAAGAATCACAATTGAACATTTCTGTTATTAAAAAAGGAAATGTAGAGCCGAGCCCAATGGCGAACGAAATTAAAGAAACGAAAAACAATCTATCTTTCACCGACGGTACCCACAACATCCCAGGAAAGAAAAAGATAGTATCGGGGAGGTACAGCGGTTCAAAGAATTCCCTGGCAACTTTCACTCCTAAAAAAAAATTGTGTCCAAGACTCCAAATTGAGAAGAGTAGTACTGCATCAGGTAATATCGTAGAGGGTAATTCATCCGACCGTTATGAGACGGCCCAAGGGGACCCGCAAAGTCTCTTCTATAGACAGGGAATGACAAGTGAGGATGTTTTGGATGGGGAGGAATTGGCCGAAAACGAACGAGACAAGTTGCTGTTGCTGGAAGACGTCTTGGAAAACGAGGCAACCATTCCAAAAAATAAAGGAGCGGATTTGGAACCGAAGTGGCATGATGAGAAATTTTCGGTTTCTAAATCATCGCTGAAATCTAAAGAACAACAAAGCAAAGAAATTTCACTCCAAAGGAACAAAATTGAGTCAATGTCGCAGGGGATGGAGAAGGATCAGAAGGGAAATGTCAAAGATGTGACTAGACGAGAAGGTGATAACAAAAATCTCATTTCGTTTAACACCAAAGATTTGTTTCCAAAAGGTAACTTGATCGATATTGGAGAATATGTTGCAACACCATTGGAAGAAAACGAAAAACCAAATAAAGACATTGTGATCGACTTGGAGTCGGACGTAGAAAGTCTGGATGTGTCGAGTCAGGAGGTTCTGCCAGCAATTAACAAAAAAGTTGCAGAGGAATCACAATCGAACATTTCTGTTATTAAAAAAGGAAATGTAGAGCCGAGCCCAATGGCGAACGAAATTAAGAAAACGAAAAACAATCTATCTTTCACCGACGGTACCCACAACATCCCGGGAAGGATAAAGATAATATCGGGGAGGCACAGCGGTTCGAATAGTTCCCTGGCAACTTCCACTCCTAAAAAAAAATCGTGTCCAAGACTCCAAATTGAGAAGAGTAGTACTGCATCAGGTAATATTGTAGAGGGTAATTCATCCGACCGTTACGAGACGGCCCAAGGGGTCCCGCAAAATCTTTTCAATCGACAGGGAACAACATGTGACAACATCCCGGGAAGGATAAAGATAATATCGGGGAGGTACAGCAGATCCAAGAGTTTCCCGGCGACTTCCATTTCTAAAAAAATATCATTTCCGATACGCCAAGTGGAGAATAATAATGCGTCGGGTAATATCGTAGGGGATAATTCATTCAACCGTTACAAGACGGCCCAAGGGGTCCCGCAAAATCTTTTCCATCGACAGGGAACGACATGTGAGGACGTCGTGAACGGGGAGAAACTTACCCAAAACAAGCGAGACAAGTTGCTGTTGCTGAAGGACGTCTTGGAGAACGATGCAACCATTTCGAAAAACAAAGAAGCAGATTTAAAGCCGAAGCAGCAAGACGAGAAATTTTTGGTTTCTAAGTCATCGCTAAAATCTGGAGAACAGAAAAACGAAGAAAGACCAGCGGGAAGGAAGGTATTTAAAGAGATTTCTCTCGAAAGTAACAAAATTGAGTTAATGTCTCGGTGCAAGGAGAAGGATCAGACAAGAAATGTCAAAGATAAGACTAGAGAAGAAGACAATATAGAAAATCTGGTTTTGTTTAATACTGAAGATTTGTTTCCAAAAGTTATCTTGACCGATATAGAAAAATATGCTGCGACAATAATGGAAGTAAACAAAAAACCAGATAAAGACATTGTGATCGACTTGGAATCAGATGTAGAAAATCTGGAGGTACCAAGTCTGGAAGTTCTGCCGACAGTTAACAAAACAATTGCAAATCAATCACATTTAAACGTTTCTGTTAATAAAAAAGGAAATGCAAAGGAGCCAAGCTCAACGGCAAATGAAAATAATGAAAAGAAAGAAGGCAATCCGGTTTTGTTTAATACCGAAGATTTGTTACCAAAAGTTATCTTGACTGATATCGAAAAATATGCTGTGACGAAAATGGAAGTAAACAAAAAACCAGATAAAGACATTGTGATTGACTTGAAGTCAGATGTAGAAAACCTGGACGTACCAAGTCAGGAGGTTCTGCCGACAGTTAACAAAACAATTGCCAGTCAATCACAATCAAACGTTTTTATTAATAAAAAAGGGAATGCAGAGGAGCCGAGCCCAATGGCGAATGAAAATAATGAAAACAAAGAAGTTGACGCATTGACAAGCAGTGTCAACCGATTCATGCCAAGAGGCCGCAATAGCGACGATCTACCTTCCACCGATGGTACGCACAACGTCCTGGGAGAGATAAGGATAATATCGGGAAGGTACAGTGGTTCGAAGAATTCCCCAGCAACTTCCAAGCCTAAAAAAAAAAAATCGTCTCCAAGGCTCCAAGTTGAGAAGAGTAGTACTGCATCGGGTGATATCATCAAGGGTAATTCAACCGACTGTTGTCGACAGGGAACAACACATGAGGACGTCTTGAATGGGGAGGAACTTGTGCAAAACAAACTAGATGAGTTGCCATCGCTGGAGGATGTCTCAGAGAATGACGCAATCATTTCGAAGAACAAAGGAGCGGATTTGGAGCCGAAGCAACAAGACGAAAAATTCTCAGTTTCTAAGTCGATGCCAAAATCTGAAAAACGGAAAAGGAAAGAAAGATTAGCGAGAAGGAAGATATTCAAACAAATTTCACCCGAAAGAAACAAAATTAAGTTAATGTCGCAGTCCAAGAATAAGGAACAGACGACAAACGTCAAAGATAAGACTAGACAAGAAAGCGATAAAGAAAGTCTCGTTTTGATTAACACCGAAGATTTGCTTCCAAAAGTTATTCTGACCAATATCGGAAAATATACACAAAAACCAAATAAAGACATTGTGATCGACTTGGAATCAGATGTAGAAAATCTGGACGTACCGAGTCAGGCGGTTCTGCCAACAGTTAACAAAACAAATGCAAGGGAATTACAATCGAATGTTTCCGCTATTAAAAAAGGAAATACAGAGGGGCTGAGCCCAACGGCGAATGAGGAAAATGAAAAGAAAGATGACAATCTATCTTCCTCCGACGGTACCCATAACGTCTCGGGAGAGATAAGGATAATATCGGGAAGGTACAGCAGTTCAAAGAGTTCCCTGGCAACTTCCGTGCCTAACAAAAAATTGTCTACGAGGCTCCAAGTTGAAAAGAGTAATTCTGCGACTGGTGATATTGTAGAGGGTAATTCATGTGACCATTATGAGACGATTCAGGGCATTACACAAAATCCCTCTGATCTACAGCAAACCACATGTGAGGACTTCCTCAACGGGGAAGAACTTGCCCAAAACAAACGAGACAAGTTGCTGTTGCTGGAGGGCATCTTGGATAAAGAGGCAACCATTTTGAAAAAGAAAGGAGCGGATTTGGAGCTGAAGCGGCATGACGAAGAATTCTCAGTTTCTAATTCATCGCCGAAATCTAAAGAACAAAAAAGGGAAGGAAAATCAGCGGGAAGGAAAATATTCAAACAAATTTCACCCGAAAGAAACAAAATTAAGTTAATGTCACAGTGCAAGGATAAGGAACAGACGAGAAATGTCAAAGATATGACTAGACAAGAAAACGATAAAGAAAATCTTGTTTTATTCAACACCGAAGATTTGTTTCCAAAAGTTATTTTGACCAATATCGGAAAATATGTGGAAAAACCAAATAAAGGCATTGTGATCGACTTGGAGTCAGAGGTAGCAAATTTGGATGTACCGAGTCAGGAGGTTCTGCCAGCAGTTAACGAAGCAATTGTGAGTGAATCACAATCCAATGTTTCTGTTATTAAAAAAGAAAACGCAGAGAAAGCAAGCCCAATGGTGGATGAAGATAATGAAAAGAAAGAGGAAGAAATTGGTCTAAACAAAGAAGCTGATGCCCGACCGGCATTGACGCTGATACCCGACCAACATGAGAACTTGGAATATGCCAGGCAGTTAAGCGCGTCAACAGTTGAAAATAACGCAGGAGAGAACAATAATGATGAGTTCATTCAAGACCGCGAAAGGGACTTTAACGAACTGAGAAAACATCATAATCAGACCTATCTGTCAACAACTTTGGGAGGCACCAAGAGACGGAAGTTATACGACCCCAACGATCTCACTTACCTGGAAAACATAGAATTATTCAAGGAGAAGGATAAGGAAACCCATACAGTTGAGCCATCTGCCAAACCACAGGAAAAGTCAATTAGAAGAAAAGTTTTCAGAAAAAAAGAGGTCCACCATAAACAACACAAATCCAAAAAACTGAAGGTGGTACGCCCACACACCACCCTGAACGTCAGCAAACACCGTGACAACTCCAAGCTCAAGTTGACGTTCTGTGAAGTGTTGGATTCGTTCAGGAAGGAATCCAAAAGTAGCTTCTTAAACATATTGAAAAGTACTGCTGCTGGAAAGTCAGTTAAGGAGAAGAAGAAGGTCGTTAAGGCTTCGAAGAACAACTCTACAAAAGTCGCCAAAAAACTCAGGACGAAGCCTAAAAATATACTTATAAGGAACGAATGTGCGAGAGATCACTCAGTTTCTGACAATTCGTCCGCTAGTCTGAAACTAGTAGGGGAACACAAATGTACTGACGATGAGACCGATTTGGATTCCCTGTGCAGGGAAAAGGTACCATATATTGAGCCGGACAAAAAAATCAACATCATCTCTGATATACAACTCAGGCCAAAACGCACCTTACTTCAAAATAAATCTGAAGTACAGAACAAGAAAATGAAGAACGAGAATAATCCCGCATCTGATATCGAAGATGATTTTTGCATAATGTCCAAGCATATATCTAATAATGAGATCTGCAACTGGATCGAGACAGGTAGGATTGGCTTATTTTAACAGTTTTAGATATTACTAACGCGTTTTTTCCACAGGGAGTCCCAATTATAATGCAGATATTAGGTAAATTGTCTAAATATTAACTGATTGTTTATGTTGATAGCATGTTTATTATTTTTTTAGTGAGAGAAGAACTGTTTTAAAATACGTTTATTTTATGTCAAAGAAAGCTTTAGGAAATCCTGATGCGAGTCAAGAGTATCAAGATTTATTAAACGTGTGTAGGTTATTAAAAAAATATGTTTAAGTTGTAATAAGACTGATAAGATTTGTTAAAATTAAAAGAATTTATGTACGATCTAAGATTATAATACAGATATTTATTTCTCTTAATGCACGAGTTTCTTTTTAAACATTTTTACCTACGACCACTACTGTAAATACTTAAAACACACCGTCTAGGAATCTTACATTGATTGAAGACAGTGTGTTTTTAAGTATTTACAGTAGTGGTCGTAGGTAAAGTATAGTACGTAATATGTGGTGTAATGCAATTACGCACTCATAGAATTACGCACTCGTCGCTACGCGGCGTCGTGCGTAAATTTTCCATACGTGCGTAAAATGCTTTTTATAGAGATGGGCAATGGGAAATTTTCCGTTTCGGAAAGTTTCCAAAATGGAAATTTTCCGGGAAGAAATAATCGAAGCTTAAGAAAATTTCCCTGGAAAGTTTCTGGAAAAATTCGGGAATATTTCTAAAAATTTGTATACTTGGAGCCAATTTTACTTCTAACTTCTGTGAATACAACCTCAAAAAATCGTTAATTTCGGATTTTCGGTTAATTCGGAATACCAGAAGGACATATTATCCAAATTAGTCAGAAAATACTTACACTTACTTATTTTAATCTTTGTTAAGTCTACAATCTACATAATAGAGAGCAATACAAGACATAAATTGCCTCTCCCTTTTCAAATTTAAAATAAATGTTGATAGTTGAACCAAAGTACAATTACATTTTAAAACTAGTATAATTATTTAATGTATTTATTTGCTAAAAAATAAAGATAAATAGAGTTTTGTATACTGTATAGTGTTTACACACTGCAACCCGCAGCATGTAATTTTTATTAACTGATGATTAATAATTTATATTTTTCAAAAATGTATACCAACTTAAACAAAAATGTATAAGTATTTGGTCTTTTTGGAAAGCTGATGGTATGTAGAACGCAATACCAAATCCAAAAAAAAAAATTTGAAAATTTCGGAAAATTCCGGAATTTTCAGTGGATACTTTCCAGGAATTTTCATAGTTTGGGAATTTTCCCATCTCTAGCTTTTTACAACACTTATTACGTAATATACTATTACATCATAAGAAATCGTAGCTCAGATTTAATCTTTATTTAAATAGTCTATGAAATACAGCATTTTTTCTGCATTCATTGAAAACCTCGTGTACGAACTGCTAAACTGATCCCACTGTATGGACTACTTTATATTTGGATCTGTGGTGTATTCAATAAATTAAACTCGCATTGATTGCCGCTTCTTGTAGGCCACAGTTAGTCCAGGCATTCTGTCACGGCCTAATGTTAAATTTGCAGAAATTATTACCTGGACAAAAAAAAGGAAAATAGGAAATTAAATTTTAAATTGAGTTTCTTGTTCTTTAAACTCGATCCATGTGCGAACATGGTTAAAATAAAATCGCAAAGTTGCAAAAAACGGTTTTTCTAAAATAACTAAAAAAATGTAGCACCGATTGAAAAATGTTAAATGAGAAAGTTGTAGGTTTTAAAAAGATCTATCGACTGATTTTTTGA